TTAAGTCAATTTACTTACCTTTTTTATATTGGTCAATATTATTTTTTTATCAACCAAAATGTATATTTCGTTAATTTAACCGGTTAATAATTAGCCGTTCCAACCACTAATTCTTTTTTTTTTTTTGAGAAAAGAAAATGTAATTAAGAAAATATATGAAAAACTTGATTGCCGCAGCCTAATGAGATTGAACCCAAAATTTGTAAGCTAAAAAATAATACTTCCAGAAATGATTTATGCCGAAAGAAAAACTTAAGTGTTACATCACTGCAATTAAAAAATCGATCCCTTTTAATTAATATTTTGGTCGCAATATATTGTCGATCTCCGCAGTACGTGACCGTATTAATTAATTAACTAATACCTGTTCATTTGTTTGGGTGTCAATTAATATTTGAAGAAAATTCCGGAAATATCCTTAAAATATTGTTCAGATAATTTTATGAATTATAATAAATTCTCACAGCTGACCTCTGTAAAGCTATTGCAAAGATTTCTGTAATTTTTTTTTTTCATTTAGACTATTTATTAATTAAATGAGTAAATAAAAGATTTTAAGCCGTGGGAATTCCTCATCCTTATTATGCAAGTATTCTTTTAATTGTTTCAACCTATAAAAACGAGATGCCGGAAAACACCGAAATGTCTGATCTACAGCATAATTTTCGTAACAATAACGCCACAATCTGTATAGAAACGCCAATGCACATATGTATCACATCTGACCTGCATACGAAGCGAAATTCCAGAAAAAATCTTTTTCCTTAATTTTCGTAAACCAGAGTTTATCCAATAAAACATATTTTCTACACTTAATACAAGCATGACAAAAACTGAAGCAATACATGACGAATGCCTATACATATTAGAAATGATTAATTTAACGGATAACATGAACATTTTAGTTGATAAATTATTCGTACTTTTGGTTAAAATACAAAATGAAGGTAAAGATTTCAGTGAAACGAAATATTATCTTGATAAATTCATTACTCTTTCTCCTCAATCAGCTTCAGATATTTATAATTGGCTTAAAGAAAATCAAAATGAAGCAAAAAATGTTTTCTTTCTTGGAATTTTTTCTTTTTACAATATGCTTAATTTAGATGAAAATAATAGTGAAGGATTCACATACTTTTTAAAAACAGCTAATAGTTACCCTATTGCACAAGTATACTTAAGTAGATGTTATACTAAAGGATTTGGAATTGAAATCAATAATGATTTAGCATTTTATTGGTATCAAAAAGCAGTAGAAAATAATAATATTGTTGCAATGAATTATTTAGCCTATTGTTATTTTAAAGGAGAAGGAACTGATAAGAATTTAGAAAAGGCGTTTTATTGGTATCAAAAAGCTGCAGAAAATAATTATGTTAAAGCAATGTTTAATTTAGCAAATTGCTATCATAATGGTGAAGGAACAGATGTAAATCTAGAAAAATCATTTTATTGGTATCAAAAAGCTGCTGAAAATGGAGTTACTGAGGCAATGTTTAATTTAGCAAATTGCTATTATAATGGTAAAGGAACAGATGTAAATTTAGAAAAATTATTTTATTGGTATCAAAAAGCTGCTGAAAATGGAGTTACTGATGCAATGTTTAATATAGCAATATGCTATCATAATGGTAAAGGAACAGATGTAAATTTAGAAAAATCATTTTATTGGTATCAAAAAGCTGCAGAAAATGGAGTAACTGAGGCAATGTTTAATTTAGCAATATGTTATGCAAATGGTATAGGAACTGATATAAATTTAGAAAAGACAATTTATTGGTATCAAAATGTTGCAAAAAATGGAAATACTGATGCAATGAATAATTTAGCTTTTTATTATAAACATGGTATAGGAATAGAACTAAATTTAGAAAAAACATTTTATTGGTATCAAAAAGCTGCTGAAAATGGAAATGGTAAGGCAATGGTTAATTTAGCAAATTGCTATAAAGATGGTGAAGGAACAGATATAAATTTAAATAAGGTATTTTATTGGTATCAAAAAGCTGCAAAAAATGGAGATACTATAGCAATGTTTAATTTAGCATTATGTTACAAAACTGGTAAAGGAATAGATGTAAATTTAAATAAGGCATTTTATTGGTATCAAAAAGCTGCAGAAAATGAAAATAATAATGCAATGTTCAATTTGGCTTTATGTTATGAAGATGGTGAAGGAACAGATATAAATTATAAAAAGGCATTTTATTGGTATCAAAAAGCTGCTAAAAATGGAGTTATTCAATCAATGTTTAATTTAGCAAAATGTTATGAACATGGTAGAGGAACAGAGGTAAATTTAGAAAAGGTATTTTATTGGTTTCAAAAAATTATAGAAAATAAAAAAGTATTACAAGATCCTGATGAAAATAATAGAATTGATAAACTTTCATTAATCAAAGGGTTTTTTATTGAATCAGAAAATGAAGCTTATAATATATGTAAGAATTGTTCTAAAAAAAGAAGAACTTTAAAAAAGAATAATATAATTTGTATTATTTGTTATCAAGCTAAATTATTATTTGAGCCAAGTGGAAATAAAATTGTTGATGAATTTATTAAATATACACAAATTAATTATATTCAAGAATCTAGTAGAATGAAATTTATTCCTTATAATCAATTTCAAAATATAGAAATAATTGGTGAAGGAGGATTTAGTAAAGTTTATAAAGCTATTTGGAATAAAGGTCCACCTTATTGGAATGAAGAAAAAGAAAATTTTGAATATACTGATTTTAATATGACTGTTTCTTTAAAACAACTTAATAATTCAAAAAATATTACTTTAAAGGAATTAAATGAGGTAAATTTAAGAAAATAAAATTTTGTATTACAATATTTATTGTTATTAATAAATACTTTATAAATTTAGCTTTTTATGATTTATGCTATTGATTTAAATAAAGAATATTTTAGTTCTTTATTTTATTTAAATAGATATTATGGAATTACTCAAAATCCATATTCAAAAGATTTTGTCATAATTATGAAATATTACAAGTATGATTTAAAACGCTATATAGTAGAAAACTTTTACAATCTTGAATGGAATAAAAAGTTAAACATGCTGAAGAAAATTATAAGCGGACTTAAACATTTTCATTATCAAAATATTATACATCGAGATTTTCATAGTGGAAATATTCTTTGTAAAAATGAATATGATATTATAATAAGTGATTTGGGAATTAGTAAATCAATCGAATCATCAGATAAAAATGATGAGTGTTATGGAGTTTTGCCTTATATTGCTCCAGAGATTTTTCAAGGTCAAAAATATAAAGAATATACTCGAGCTTCAGATATATATAGCTTTGGCATGATTATGTGGGAGTTAATGACTGGTAGAACACCTTTTTGGGATCAAGTCTATGATACAGAACTTATGATTCGAATTATTGATGGTGATCGACCTCCGATTGTTACTAATGCACCCGTAGGTTACATTGAATTAATACAACAATGTTGGGATTCAGATCCAAACAAAAGACCGACAGCTTCTTATATTTATGGTCTTATTGATGAAATCATGTTGAGAGAAGTAAAGTCACCAACAAAAATGATAATATCATCGGATATTGGACCTATCATAAAAAATGATTTAGACAGTGCTCATTCGAAAAGTCAAATTATTATCAGTAAATAGTATAATTTATTCGTCATCATATTAAGTAATTGAATTATGAAGAATCTATTAATTTATTTTATTATTTAGATAAAAGTAGAAAAAATACCAACTTAAATTCTAATGAATCCATCAATGATGGTAAGTAAAAAATACCAAGTAAACAATAATTTTTAATTTAACGACAAACAAATTAATTATTTAAATATAATAGGTTATGTTTCTAAATCAATTGATTTTGATATTTAATAATAAAAACTTATCAATTGATATCAAGAAAAAATCAAGTTTCAAGAATCAATTATTATTTATGAAAAATATTAATATGAGGATAACAATTCAGGTAGCTTACAAAAATACTTATTGGTTTCCTGCGGTTATACTCAAATAATTAAAAAAATTCCTTATAAGATATTCAGTAAATAATTCTTAACCAGCTACGAAATATTCTAATGACTACCTTACTTAATTTGAATATTTTAAATGTTATTTTTTTTATATATATATATATATATACTTTGTGATTAATAAACTTTTTAAAAAAAAAAATCGCGCGCGCAAAAGTTATTAGAAAATAAAATATTGCATAAAAATCATTTACATCAAATTTAACCGTTTAACTATCGTAAAATCTTGATTTCAAAATTGCAAATATAACAATCTATGGTCAATTTAGATCACTAGCGAAGTATATTTCTTAATTCAAAAATTCGGAAAAGGATATTTGTCAAACATGAAATAAAAATACTATTTAAATTATATTTTATTCATACTGAAAATAATTTGCAAATAATAAAGGTAAGTGGTTATTGATTATGACAATCTCTTTTATATTTTTTTCGATAACACCCTAAAAGATATGTAGGCATAATATTTAATTCACAATTCGCCAGAAATGGAAAGAAAAATGTCATATCATACTAACTCCTGATTTAATCAGAAAACGATCCAAACTTGCATAATAAAAAACGTCACTTAAAACCAAAGTTATTTATTGTATTAATACGTAATATACACTTTATTTAACATATTTCACACAATTGCATTTCCAGTTTAGGATTATGAGTACCAACTGTCTAATTGGAATAATTTAAAAAAAAAAGGTAAAAAAAAAGGATCAAAACCGCTTAGGTCGTTCTTAATGAAGGTATTATTTGCGATTTTTATTATTATTTGGCCAAGTTTTGAATTTTTTTTGCCATTGCTTGCTTGTGTTGGCGGGAATACTAACTGATCCAGTTTTCAATTGTTTTCAACTTTGGTATATCACTCTCTTCAAGCTCACCTATTTCCACTTTCTTTTGCAGTGCTACAAGCATTTCTTTTGCTAAATATCGCTCACTTTTGTAGGTGTCACCGGTGTGAAAGAAACCTTTCAATAATTCCATTACTTCTTCAGGTATGTATTTTCTGCCACCTTTCTTTCCGTATTCTTGGTTTTCTTTTAAAGCCCAACAAGATCGAAAATAGTTGACTCTGTAGAAACTAATATCATTAGATATTATATAAAATATCGTGATATTTTCCTATTTTTTTTAAGCAGTTGAACTCACTCGTTTTCTATTTCTTTTTCCTTTTTTTTCTCCTTTCCATTTTTAGTCCTTATTTCTGAAATATTATTGTTTTCAACTATGCTATTTATGTCAATCGCTGTTTTTGCTTCTATATAACAAAAAGAGATTAATTAGTTTAGTTGGTTAGTTGGATTTCATTACAAATTCAATTGCAAAAAAATATTTTATTTATCATTTCACATGCAATATTTTTGTTCAAAATTGCAATTAACTCTGGCTGATTCTCTTTCTCATCATAATACAGAGATCTTTTTTTTAACTCCTCTTTGATATTATTTTTCATCAACCTCTTTATCCTAGCTATTTTATTTTGGGAGGAGTCATGATTTATTAATGGTAATAGAATTATCCAAGTATCTGTATTTATATGCGTAGAAATTAAGGGATTTGGTTGATTTTGTTCATCACCCTTCATTGATCTACTAATAGTAGAAGGTAAGAAGTCGTTCCATTTTTCAAAATTGAAAAGAGCATGACAACACACAAAACCACTGAATTTTCCATCAACAGGCCACTAAAATTCAAACCAATTGAAAATACAGGTTTTTTCCCTTTCTATTTCCGTTCTGGATTAATATTTGCAACTGCTTTTCCTCTAATACACTTAATTACTTCTTCTATGTCTTGACCTTCAGATATATTGTATCCCAGCCTAATGTATCGTTTGTTTGCATAAGAAATCTAGAAATATAATAAAGGTTCGTAAGCTATATTTCTACATTATACAACCTTTTTACTAACCTGAGCATGATGTGAATCAATAGTAGTTTTGGCTTCTCCTGCTTCCAAAAAAGTCTAACTTCGAATTTCCACATCATATCAAGATTTCCAGTTTGTAATTATAGCCATTAACTTAGCACAATGATAATGGGCATCATTATCAGATAAAATCCTTACCTACTTCAGTTTTTTTCAAATGAATTAAAGACAACTTCAAAATATGAGGCTATGAATAATGCGTCTTGAATTGTATCTGAGGACCAATGATCAAAAGCTTTGATTTCTAATTCATGATTATTAGCCTTTGTGTATACCAGCATTGTATGTAGTGTCCACCCAAATTTTTCATAAAAGTCTGATTTTACCTCTCGTGCTGATTTTGGTAAAATTCTCATTTTATAATTCACCACAATAACAGCGCCTTCTTCATCAAAAGTAAGCAAGTTTGCATTAAATTGAGTATTGAAGTATATCTTGCATACTTGATGAGACTAGTAATATTGAAGTTTTTTTCTATTTTCTGTAATTCGTTCGAAACCATCTGGCATTATATAAACTAATTTATAAAAAAATTCTGATATCTTATTATATTGGTTGCAATTAGAAACGTGGGGCTTGTTACATTCTTCAAAAGCATGTAAAGACAGTGTTCAAGACATTCAATATGATAAGTATATCCTAAACAATCTACTTGAAGTTCTTTTTCATATTCACGCTTTAAATACCAGCGAATAGATTCAAGTTTTGTAATTAATTGATTTTAATAAAATTTTTTTGAGTAATTATTTTATTATTTTTATTAATCACAACTTCTAACAATATATTTATATTTACTTGTCGATCTTTTTCGCTTATACTTTCTATTATCAAAGTCCTTAGATCATCAAATACACCATATTCATATTCAGAACAAATACCACACAACCCTTCCAGATCTTCTTTATATACATAAGGTCCATCTTTCAAACGTGCTAAAAATGTTGTTCTTTTCATACCAGTAAGATATAACTCAAAGAATTTTTGCCACAATGTTTCTTTTTGATCTTTTAGATATTTGAGCGGTTTATCAGTTTTCATATCCACCTTGTAAGAACTCAAATTTACAATATTTTATCAGCAAAGAAATTCTGAAACTGGTTTTCCATTTTTTTAGTAATGAGAACTCGTGTAATAATTGGTTTATCTATTACTGCACATCCTGGACCATTAACCTCGAGTGATATCTAGCTTTTTCTATTGTTTTAAACGATACCTATTTATATATAATGAGCATGCATTAATATAAGTAAATAATAATATTTACCTTGGGAATTTTTTGAAGTTCTTCATATTTAAAATTATTAGCAATTATTGATAAAGTTCATATTTTTCTATCATCGCCTGTTTTATTCTCTTCTATGATTTTTGAAAACACTTCCAAAATTGATTGCTTGAGTTAAACACACTTGCAGGGATGGCATTTAGGAACCCATTACAATATAAATTTTTCAAGGTATTTTGATCTACCAATAGATTAGGGTTTTGAGACCAAAATTTGAATGTTTGGTTTAAATTAATTGGTTTTAGCAATAATCATTTATTAACAAATATTACCTCTGATTGATCTTTAGAAAATGGTGTAATATCTGTACATCCAGCAGTCTTTAGCATTGCGCACCATGCTCAAAGTTCACGTTCATTGTACAAATAATTTAGTGGATATATTTTTTTAGTGTTTCACGTAATTCAATGATTGTGCTTTCCTGTGCAAGCCAATTTTGAAACAATTGTCACCAATTAATATTACTAAGTGTTCGTTTTCTCAAATGATAATTAAAAATATTATCCATAAGTGTTTCATTATTCCAAAATGTGGGCGAGCATGTAGTGATTTATTGTGCATTAATAGCCTTTTGTGTCATTGGATGTTCTAAACTAAACAGTTGTGTACCATGATATTTTCTGTAAACCCCTACATTTTTCCATACTTCCATTAGACTAGAACCAAAAAAAAACACTGACTTGTTGTCTTTTGGATATATCGAGATTTCATAATTTTCAGATAGAATTATTTGAACAAATAAAGCTTATTTTTTATTGTAATCACTGATAAATGATGCAATATAACTTTCTATTATATTTTTTTGTCTGCCAACGCCTATATTTACAATGTACACCAAAATCTTACTATATATCTTAATAGCAAATGCTTGAAAATGGAGATCTTTCAATGAGGCTTCCAGTAATTCATTATCATCTCAACCTAAAACAAGGGTCTGGAAAATTTTGTCTTTAAATTAGCGAAAAAGTTGCTGGTATAAACTTATTATAGCATAACTCGGTGCTATTTCAATATCACTAAATTTACTATCAGAATGACACCTATACCCTGGCAGTATTTCACTAATTTCATTTCCTTCAGTAATATGCATATAAAAAGGCCTGTTATTTTGTTCTACAATAGTTTGCTAATCCACACGAATAGGATAAAGTAGTGTTCCATTTTCTAGATCACTGCTGTCACTTCTCATAATCCACCATTCTCTTGAGTTCACCCTATAATGCAACCGGGATACTATTTGGCCTATAGAAACTAGTTTTATATTTAGTATGGGTCATTTGTTCATATTTAGATTCAAAATGGTTAGAGATTATATTACGCGTTTTATTATTACTATTATCTCCACTGATCACTATATAAAATGTAATATCGATCTTTCCGTTTCTTACGAATTGCGAATTAACTAATTATATAAACTTGTTTTTTATAAATTAGACCAATAAAGAATATATATTGTTTACAACAATGCATTAAGAATTATTAAGATTTTTTTTAAAGGAACATAAATATGCGAAAAAAATAGCTTAAATTTATTACTGAATGTTATTTTTAACATGCATATTGAATTGAATATTATGAACTTTACTTTTCTTATCTATATATTAAGTCAGAGAATCAATTAAATCAAAATGATTATGTGCTTTATTCTTATCATTACTTTGCATTTCGTTCTTCAAGTTGTAGTAATACAAAACTTCATACATTCGAATCTTACTATATTCAGATCTCGAAATATACTGCTTTTGTGCATTACAGATTTAAAAATAAAAATTCAAAACCAAAACTATACAAAAAAAGAAAAATAAATCGCAGTTTATTACATTTGTTCATTACCTAAAGTCAATAAAAATACAAGCAAAAATAATTAAATACGTTTGCCATTGTTAAAATAAATATAATAAGTTTACTCCATTTCATTATACGATCATAATGACAATTAATAAATTATCCTAAATATATTTGTCACATTTAATAACACCCGTTCACTTACATGACAATTATTTTGCTGATACCCTATTTTACCGATAGAATTTACTAACGATCATCTCACCGACGGCCACAAAAAAAAAATAGGATCAGAATTATTAAATTTATTAAACCATTTATTAAACTAATTATAATAAATTTATTTTTAAGTATTGTATATTTATTTCATTATAATGAACATCTTAAAACCTTAATTAGTTGATATTTTTGGTGGAGTCCAAAAGGATGAAAGTATTGTAATTTAGGTTCTTCTGGACTGTGTCAATGTCGAGTGGTATATTATTATTTTCATTTTATATATAAATTAACTAGAATTTGTGGTTTGCGAAAGACATCATCCATTTAGCATTAGGTGATTAATTGTATAATCTTTTTATTGCAAAATAAAAGCATTTAACAAAATTTTTGTAGAATGTTTAATTTTTAATAAAAAAAAAAGAAGTAAAATAACTTTAATTTTAGAGAGTTTATAAAAAAAAATGTATTTATAACAATAATAATGAAGAAATAGTAAATTTTGTTCTAACCAGTCATATTGTTTAAGCATTGGCTCATTTATAATATATATGCAATATATGTTTGACCAGCAGAAAAAATATGATAGTCAAGACAAAAAGATATTTCAGGTAAATTAAGTCCTATGTTCTATATTTCGGTGTTCAGTAATAACTTTTAACAGTTTAAAGAATTAGTCTAATCCTTTATCATTATCCCAAATTATTTGGCATTTTTCACAAATGACCTAAATAACAAATGATAAATAATCAAATGTTATTTACCGGTCATATGAATCATTTGTATTTAGTCATTTGTAATTAATAAAAAATTTTTTAAATTAAATATTTAATAAAAAAAAAAATTTTTTTAAAAGATTTAAATTGAATGAAGTTTCTTTATTAAAAGTAGCTTATTAAATTTTTTATAATTTGATATTTTTTAGAAATTAATATTTTTTTAATTCCTTTTTAGATTACAAATTCAGTCACATCTCGATATATTAAATTAGACATACAGGCATTTGTTATAATAAATTATTCGGTATAATATGCTAAATACATTTTTAGTGATCAAAATTTCATTAGTTTTGTAGTGATGATTACTCAATAAATCTTTGTGATCGAAATCAGATGTGACAACCAGTTGGTCTGATGAGAATTAGCCTAGCTAGTAAGAAAAATTAGGTAGCATATTTTATTTTTTACTTCTGTACCTGTTTTTTGATTTTCATGTATATTTTTTACTGAATTCATTTTTCATAATAAAATTATGCATCACCACGTCTTTAAAAAAAGTGATTCAAAATTCACAAAATTTAGCTCATTTTAAAGAACTTATTATTAAAGCCGTGACCTGTTAGAATTTTAGTATCTAATTCTTATCCAAATTAAATAAGGTTACCTAATTTCTTAACGGTGTTAGCCGCAGTTTATACTGTGCCTTAGATGATCTTCAACTGCACCAAATATCATACATGTTAAACATGTAATACATGTATTGTTTGATTGACTTTATAATACATGCATCAAATAGTTTACCTTTTAATATAAATATTATATAGTCTACTTTTCATTACTTATATTATTTTCATTATATGTACTTATTGAAAGGCATAGTATAGATTAGTTAATAATTTTATATAAATAGACCTGTAAGTTGACCTTGAGTTAACAGAGTTCGATCAGATAGTTTTCTGAATAAGTCTTAGAACTAGACTTATAACTCTACAGTTTAATAAAGTTACTATTCTACAATTTCAACCTTCTTCTTGTCTTCATCATAGGATTGATTATGATAATCTACTATACAAGTGAATCATGATAATAAATTGTTTTATTTGTTTATCATTAATTTCTCTCAGGAAAGGCCTTTGAAATAATTGTATTGTTAAATTTATTAGTTTTATTAGCTTAGTTTGAGATGATTCCAGGTCTAATAACAGATTTACTCACCCATTTACCTTTTTACAATATATAATAATATAAATAATATCTGAATAGATCAGATCCGAATATAAAGTGATATTTTATATAATTTCAAATACTTTATTTATAGAAAACATAATATAATAAAACAAAGCTATTTAATAAATGCTATTTATTGTTACTATTTTGCTAAATATGTTTATTATATATCTCAAATTTTTCAGTAACCTAATTAAGTTAAGTAAATTGATAATTATTAAATTCATTAAAATAAAAATATAAAATAAAATTAATTCCTACTAACTGGAAGGTGAATATTGATTATCTTTTTGTTTTGTTTTAAGAAAAATTTTTTTAATGTGCTTAGATCTATGCTTTCTCTTTTATTAGTAATATAATTATTTGCATTTGAAAATAATCTTTTACTTAATATAAAGGACACAAGTGTTATAAAGTATTTTTATACAAGTTAAACGATCACTAGAAATTCTATTTGATGATTTTTTTACCATTTGTATTAATATATAAAACAGGTATATGCATAAAAAATTAGATAATTTTAGTATAATATTATTATTATTATAAGATTGAATATTTTCAAAATACTTCTATATTCATATTTTTTTCTTATATCTCTTTTTGAAGTCTTTACAAATAATATCTGATACTTTACAATTCTATATCAATAAATCTTTGTATTTTTTTTTCAATTATTATCATTATTTCTTCTTAAATTATCACAATTAATACTAAATCTATTATAATTTCTTTTTTAATAAATTTTTCTATATTATTATTCAGATTCTTTCTGAATTATTACAATTAATAATTAGTTTATTTTGATACTTTCTTGATCTATCTTTATGATTTTTCTATATTATTTTTAGAATATTTTTTATATTGTATATTTTATAATGATAATAATTTTGACGATTATAATAAAGAATTGTTATATATTAGAAAATATTAAAAAATATATATTGATTTATCTATATATAAATATAATTAAAACTAATTGTTAATAATACTTTTAATGATATTTATTTTATTTTTTATATTTTCTATGAGAATAAAAATATAATTATTCTTTTTTTGTGATAATGATTAGTTTAAATTTTTATTTTATGATATTTATAAACCATAATTTATTAAAATATTAAAAAAGTGCTTTTAAAGTTATATTTTATCAGAAAAAGAAGGTTATAAATAAAAAAAATCTAAAAATATACTTTTATACTTTACTATAAAATAAACTTAAATATAAATAGTTTATTAAATAATATAGTTAATTAATTTAATATAAATTAAAATAGTGATAGCAAATGACCAAATTATTTGACTATTTTGAAATGATCTTCAAATAACTTTTAAATGACTATATCATTTTGATCATTTAAAATAAGCCATTCTGCAAATGACAAATGATTTTAAATGACATTATCATTTAAAAATTATTTATACAATTTGATATTATTTAAATAATTTATTTATATAAACCAATAAAATTCATATTATATAATTATTTTTTTTTTTAATAATAAACCTTAATTTTAAACATGAGAAGTATTTCTTTTTTTATGATAAAAAAATAAATTATAAAATTTATTTTAAGTATTTATAATAGTGTTACGGTCAGTTCTTTAAGATGCTTATGAGTGATAAGCGAAACAATATTTATGGGTGGTAAGCAGAAGGTTTAATTTGATATTTAGATTTAGAAGTGTGTCAGTAAATTAACAGTTTATTTAATAACTATAACAATGGAGTACTGCCTCAGTCAGCGCTCTGTACTATATAATTATGTTAGAGGAATTAAACTTAACTATTATATAAAACTATATATCAAATACACTGCTAGGCTAAAAGAATTTGTCATCTATTTATATAAAATGAAAAATATAAAGTTATTAAAGATATAAAAGAAATAAATATAATAAATAAAATATATAAAATAAATATAATATAATAAGTAAATAAAATAAGTAAAATAAAATAAATAAAAGAAATATAATATATAAAAAAAATAAATGCTATAGATAAGATAGATAATATAGAAGACATATATTATTTCTTAGGGATTTTTTGGATCATCATCATCTATGTCTTCTTTCATGTAATAAAATACTCAATCGTGAGTAAAAAGAGAAGATGGATAGATTTTGTAAAGTAGTTCAAAATTGTCTATGAGGCGAAAATTATCAATGTGGATATAAAATGCATGTGGACAGTGATGGGATCTTGCATAATAAGATGTATTGTAATTATATTTATAGTTGCTTATAGACCCCATCCAAAAAGTGATATCCTATATTCTCTCACAACTTTACAATAATATATGCCTGTATCATCTGAAGCTGTCTCTATTTTACATTCAGGATTAACCTTTGAATTGTAGTTTGAGATGATATCGAGAGCAGTAAACCTTTCGTCTTTATTAGATGTGATAATACGGAGATACAGCATTTTTTCCACATAATAATCACAATAGGATATGCCTTTATACATTCCATTTGAATTAGATTTATGTTCACAGTACTCCCTCTACTGTCTTTTCTGGTAGCAAGTATACTCTTTACTTTAGATCAGAATTTGAAAATACTTGCATTATTAGGAATACGAATATTGAAAAATACCTTGATACTAGTAATGGTGACAACTGCTTTCTGGCCATTAATGAGATATCCATAAAGACGAAGAATATAATGAGGAATTTAATTAATATATTCTTTGGATTCTTCTATGTTGACCAGCATGAATGGAATATTTCGATGATTTGCTATCTCATCCTCAAGAATTGAAGTCGAACCCTCATCATTTCTCGCAACTAATTCATCACGAGTTGGAATGCTCATCAAGTAATTCTCGTCAGAATAATGAAGTACCTGACTAACTTTTTCTTTTTCAGCCTCTGGATGAAAAAAAGCAGAAGCATTTTTCATAGCATCAGAGAATTCTAAAAGCTTGGATTAGATCATTTTTGAAAGATTTATAATTATACCAAAACTCAAGATATAATATTCACAAGAAAAAAGTTTAAAATAAAATTAATTTCTGAGATTATTAATCAATATACATAAATGGGACTGAAGGAAAAAAATACCAACTGGAGATTTTATTTCTGTCTATATATTCTTAGGACTGGAGAAGTGTGTAATCAGAGATGCTATCATCCAGATGGATGCAAAGTTCATAGGAATTCTAGGCAAGTTCCTTGTAAACAACCTGGATGTATTGAAAAGACTAGAGGGGAATATAGATTTTGCGATCCACATGCAAAAAAACTTAGAGTGAAAAAATACTATCATCAGAAAAAACTAATTGAGCTGGCTAAGCTGAATGTATGTAGATTTTGCGATTCATATGCAAAAAAACATAAGGTGAAAGAAGAGTACCATTGAAAAAAGTTGGCAGAGTTGACTAAGTTGATTGAGGGAGATAATATAGAGATAAACAGTCTTAGTTAGATCAATATTCCTATTAAAATTTTTGGGAATACTATAGAAACACTTATAAGAATACATTTGTATAGCATCTTAGCAGTAGAAAGCATTTCAGATTAATTCTAGAAAGAGTGTTCTTATGTTCCTATCAGTTTTTATGAAAAATCGAACTTCTTTACTTTATTTTTTTTTTTATTACACACTATACATATACCATATATATACCATACGTATAGCATAAAAAAAAATTAAAATTTTTTCTAGAAGTTTTATTTTTTATAGGAACAGATAGGAATATAGGAACAAATATCAAATAAAGCAATCAATCGACTCAAGAAAGCGAAGGCGATATACAAATGTGTTCCTATAAGTGTTTCTATGAAATTTTTTTAGCTAAGTTGATAAGAACAAAAAATCTGCTTTAGAAAAATCTGCATTAAGAAATTTTTAGCGAATTTCAGTAGGCAAAACGTAAAAAGAAGACAACCAAGTATGCAACTGAAAGTGAAGGCTTTACCGTAATTATTATATAAAATATTGGGAGAAGCTTTTATCTTTCTAGACATGTATTCAGGTATGGTATAAATAGGCTGGCCAAGATAATATATATTGCAACTCCAACTTCAGGATGCAAAATCAGCATACACATACCAGCAACAAATAGGCAATAGTTATTTTAGTTGCAAGGTGTGTATTTCTGGCAAATAAATAGACTAGTCATAATAATGCCTATCATACCTCTGAAAAGTATAATACCTTAGCCAGATCTTTGAATATAATAACTCAGCATCTAAGCTGGCCTGAAACTGACAAACTAATAGAAACACTCAAGTTCCCTACCAGTTCCATAATAGCTCTAGGATACCGCTAAGTCACTATCATAGCGCTAGCTTAGATCTCCAAATTACATACTCTAAAGATCAGCCTGAATTATACCATAGTGGTGGCCAAAATCAGATCTACAATTTACTGCGCTACCCGACATGATATTTTTTACCACATTTTGGCATTTTGAAAGGCAACCAAATAGATGCAAATTCTTAATATAGAACTAGCATTCAAACTGGCTGGTCTAACTACTGGCAACTAAGAAGGATAGCACAGTATTACGTATCCAGCCAGTAATCAAGAGGCTTAAAAATGGAAAACAAACCATCACATACTTAGTAACCAATCAGCCATGGAGCCCCACCAGCATAAATTATATCAGAAAGCATTTATTAATGCACAGCATATAATAAAAATAGGCGCATTCAGATTATTTAGTCATAGTCATAATTAGATTATTTAACCACATGATCACAAATGGGGCATGCTGCAACAAAACCAAACAAAGTGAACATTGGTGTTACCAAGGATTTCAGGGATCAAAATTTAATCATTTGTAATAATTATCAGTTTTATAATATCCATTTGTGATATATAGAATTATCCCTATATAAAAATAGTTAATATGAAACTCATTTACATCAGATCTACTATGGAACCCAAGAATTATAGCACCATCAGAAGTATTTTGAAGAAAGAGCAAGGTGAAAAAATTGCTCCTTACATTTTCAAAATAAATGATGTTCAGGTACTTGAAGCTTATCTAAGAAAAGAAAGAATTACTTATGAAATTTACTAAGAAGAAAGAAAAATAATAAACATTAGAAAAAGAAAGCATCATGATGATGCATTATTACCTAATAAAAAGCAAAAGTCTCTAAAAAGAAAATAACTACCATTTTCTTTGATAATTTCAATTTATACAGAACTACTTTTTTATTTTCAATCAAGATCATCTTTTAGTCTCTTTGACTTCAATTTGAGCAGTTAATTGACCATTTTGTTGATCTTTTAATTTCCTGTTTTCCTCTTCTAGTTGTTTAATTCTTTTTTCTAAATCCTTTACCTTATTTATTAACTTCTGTTTTTGCTTTTTACTTCACTCTTCAGATTTTTCTTGAAATTTGGTTACTTCTTCTCTTTTAATTTTTAATTCTTCTTTGGTAATTGATAACTCTTTTTCTAGTTCTCTAGTTTTATTTTCTAGGCGAAAACTGAAAGTTTGTGAAAGTAGTTCTTTGTCAGAAAGTGGTTTAGTTGATTAGCTTTTAAATGACTACAAAAACATCTGTTTCTATTCCTTTTTAACCTACCACATTTCTCACATCATGGAAGAGTATTATTATCATAATCATTTTTACATTCGCCACAGATAAAGACAATGTCAGAATAACCATCAGGAGTATTACGAGCCACCATTTGATGAGTAGCAGGAGCAGTATCAAAATTAAGGAGAGTTGGGTCATCAAAATCTAGAAAACAAAAATTACACTCTTGTTCATCTCCCTGGGTTATTTCCAGAATTCTATATTCTAATCTCATATTTGCTTACTTATTCTTTTGAACAATAAAAGTCTGGAACTTCTCTTTAGTCTTTTCTTTTACTTTATTTACTAATTTTTTGAGTTTGCATAATCTGTTTTCTTTTTGTTGTTTTGGTAAAGCTGGTAATTCTTTGGTTGTTAAATAATCTTTTCAGTTTGTTTCCTGATTTTTAGCAGCTAAATTATTTTTTAATAAATCTATTCGGTCTTGAAGTTTGCCTATTGCAGCATCATGTTTCAACACAGTTTCAAATATTTGTCATTTTCTCCATTCCATGGCTTTATTTAGTGCTTTTTCAGCCTCTTCTCGCTCCATTCATACTTCATCATCTAACTCTTCTATTCTTGCTTCCAATTCCTCCTTTTTTGTCTCTAATTCCTCAATCTTTCCTTCATAATCTCTCTTTTGTTCATAAAGTTGTCCATTAGTTCTGCTTCATTTTCCAACATAATCTAACCATTGTGAACTTAATTCATTAGAACTATCAATAAAACCTTCTAACATTTCTTCAATTGTAATATTATCAAATCAAATTCTTTTACAATTCTTAACTCATTCCCTAGTTTCATTAGGATCTACTGCCATTATTAATTTGCCTTCATCCATTCATTTCTTGTTTAGTTTCTTATATCATCTTGTTCCTGTAGGAGCATACATACTAACTTCACCCTTTTCATCAATAGACTGACCAGTAACATGTCAGATTTTTAGTTTAAGATTTTCTTCTTTATCTGCTAATTGCTTCTTTAAATTTTCATTTTCTTCTAATAGTTGTTTATTTCTCTCTTGGAATTCATTTATTGTGTTTACCATGATTTTCTTTTTTTATTTATTTGCTCTTTTAATATACTAATGTACTTTTATGAGGGTATATTAAGTATATAAATTATTTTAGTACTTTTTTACTTTAAAAGTGGAAAAAGATTAATGGGTGGCAAAGTCATGGAAGTGATTTTATTTCAAATATTTTATTTGTTGCCAGCATAGGATGGTCTTGGGCAAGTAGTATCTTTGTATTCATCTTTCACAAATGGGCGAATATTGTTATAAAGGTATTCTTGCCTTTTGTAGTCCAAAGGAGGTGGGATTAACACTAAAATAGATAAAGCTCTAATTTCTTCAAAAATATCTGCTTTCTTGATTTTCAATAAATTGAATTCAGCAAAAGGTCCATTAGCAACTTCTTGAACTTTCACTGTACCAAGATTAGATGCTTCAAAAAGAAAATGTTGGTATTTCTGGATACTTGGTAATTTCTTAAAATAAATTCCCAAAATAGCTTTAATATCTAAGTATTGAAAACCTTTTCCACCTTCATAACACTGAGCTTTATTTAATCCTGCTGGACTAGACCTTTTTATCACCTCAACCACATGACCCAAACAATCTACTCTTGTTTTCCTATAGAGTTTTTTAATTAATCCAAAACTACCATTACATTTGAATTTGGTATGTCCTGAAACCATGAAATTCAATTCAATGCTTTCTTAATATCCACAAATTACTAAATATAAATAAAACCAAATTGTTACATTGTTTTTGTTTTGTCCCCCAGTATTATCACAAGTAATCTTTAAATGCTTTTCACCTTTATTCAATTTCTTAATTCTATCAAAAATCATACTAAGTGTGCCATTAGAACCTTTTCCTATAATTTCATCTTCATTAAGAACATAATTGATTTGTTCCCTTACTGCTTCATCTTGAATGCCAAATAAATGAACTTTACATGGACTAAGGTAATAGATTTTACTTACTTGTTGATCTAAATGTGGCACATGAACATTTTGAGCTCAATCATAACTATAATGAGCAATAGCATCAATACTACAATATTGTGTTTTACCCTTTGAATAATTTTGATTAACTAATTTTTTTTGTTTTTCTGCTAATTTGGTGTTTTTATTGTAATAATTTCTTTCTAATCTTGCCTTAGACAAATGTTCTTTAAATCTTTTGAGTAAATCTTTAGCTTCTTCCTCTTGGCGAACATTGTAATGTAAACCATCTCTGAAATGCTGACAAGTATCACATAAATCAGTTCTGGGGCTCATAATTTGAATTTCTGGTGTCAATTGATGTCATAATTTTCTAAAGGCATCATATTTTAGAGATTTTAACTTGCTATTTTCTTCTAAATCAGCTATAAAATCCCTGTACACAGATTTATAACTCATTTCAGCTAGTAAGAATGTAACTGATTGAGTTATTCTATTGATACTTCTTCCTGGACTTGGTAATCCATGAACTTCTGCATAATTTTCTAGAAAATTCTTTACTACTTCTGCAACATTTTTATCAATCACCATTTTAGTTTTCCATTGAGACATTCTTTTAATATTGCCATGAATTCTTGGCAGAAGACCATTGTTTATCAGATGATTTCTAATATTTTCAAAATAAGTTCTGCCAATTCCTAACATATTGAGATAAGTTTCTTGACAAAGGAGTGTATTGTGATCCCAGTGATAGAAAGTTCTTTTATTAGATCTAGTTTTCTTTTTAAGGCGTCTACTAGTGTTTATTGATCCACCATCCATTGCTTTAAGTTGGGCCATTAAAAATATGTCTTGTTCTGTTTTGGAAAGTGCTTGAAAGGATTCTCTTAATTCTGCAAATTGTTCCTTGGGAATTCTTGAAGAACAACCACAATCACAACCTTTTTCCAAAAAATCAATGGCTTTTTGATATTCATTAGAACCACTATATTTATTACTTTTCATATATACACTTATCCCTATATATATAATTTTATGTTCACTTTGTAGGTTTTTACAATCAATATATTATAAGTTTATTATTAAATTGTGGGAAAACTCATAATTACAGAAAATTTTGCAGCATGGAAATGAAACTTCAGCATTACCATACCATCATGAGAAGTTTCATTCATCATGTAAAAAATGACAAGAATATTTTGAAATTCAGTTTGTTCAATTACAGATTTTTTTGAAAAAATTTCTTTTATTTTAAATTCTCATGTTAATAATAATGTAATTCATTACAATACTTATATAGAATTATATTTAGTTGTTATTATTAGATAATGCATCAAGTATTATTTCTTATATTTTTGCTAATTGCTTGCTATGTTTTTAATTCATCCTCCCTTTTCTTTTTTTTTATTCATCAAAAATAAATTCAAGTCATGATGACAATGACTCTGTGTAAATTCTTCTTAACCTTTCCTTATCAAGAATTGTTAGATTTGTTGTATTCATATTTTTAGCATTTTTATAAAGGTCTCTCCATGAGACATAAACAAAAATGATATCATCTTCTGTCATATTAAGCTGTGCTATATTGCTTGTCTCAAAATGTGGGAGATCCAATTGTGGGGAATTACGAGTCCCTCCTTTTGTTCAGAGGTAAGGGAGATATTTATCATGAGTTTTGGAATTTTTACCTTCTATGTAATTCTTAGGTTTGGTTGTGCTCTGTGGGTATGAAAACTTGCATTCTATGTTAATTGCAATATAGGATTTTGTCTTTTCTTTTGACACACTTCCCTTAATATTAAATACCTCTTCTTCTGATACCTTTTCCTCAAATATCACCATGTCATGCCCAGTTTCATTTGATGAAAGAAGTACAAATATGGCATCAGTTAGGCTTTTATAAGGTTCATCTTTCTCATTAACTATACCTTTATCAGTCAACCTAAATCTTTTGGCAGTCTTTTCTTACACCTTGAACTTGATATTTTCCCAATATTGCTGTTGTTTTTCTTGTAATCCATATAAGTCTTTAAGACATGTTATCTTTTCATCATCCTTTAAAAGCAAATATCGAGATATTACTTCCCAATAGGAATGAAAATGCTCAAATGGTAATCCATCATTCACTTTATCAAGTAATTTGTCTTCTTCAAATAATAAACATCTCAGATTTTCTGCAAATGTACCATAAGTTTTATTATGTTGATATTTGGAACAAAATACCCAAAGTGCAACAGGTGACAATTTAGGGATTACAGTAACTTCTTGGTAGCATGAGGAAATAGTGTTTATATAAATTCCTTTTGAAATGAGTGCTGCAACATTAGCTTTTTCACCATTCTCAACTTCCAAAACATAATCTAGTGGCCTTGGGATTCCCTCTAGAGCTGCTTTAACTTCAGGAAAACTAATATGAACCCAGGTACCAATCTTCTCTGTTAATCTTGACAAAATATTAGTATAAGTTCCTGCAGCCATACTACCTTGTTTTAAAATGAAATACAATTGCTCAAGTGACCTTGGATGGCCATTGCAGTCTGAAATACAGCGTTTGTTAAGGAGACTCATGTGAAATTCATAAAATAAATTTTTTGCCTCAGTAAAACTAATTGCCTGCAATAGCACCCATTTTACTGGTCTTCCTGAATCTGTCTGGAATTCAGCAAAATATAATGAATCAAGGGTTGAAATAACCAAATTAAACTCATCACTATTTCTGCTACTGAGCTGTGCTCCAAGCTTGGATATTATTTTCTTGGGTTCTGGAGCCTTCATAATCTCATCTACACATAGAAGTAAAGGTTTATTCTCAGAATGATAACAGATCCAGTCCATAACATCATTAATTGAAGGTAAATCAGAAAATTTGTGTTTAATAAATTGGGTAAATTAGTTCCATGATAATTTCTGAGCATCAAAAAAGTAACTCCAAAGTATTCGTAATGCTAAACCTCTCACAGGTTCTTTATCCGCATATTCATAATCAGATGATGATCCACTGTTGTAAGTGATGCATATTGGAATTGAATTTTCAAGAATCCCTCGAAATGTTTTGGCTTCATCATTTTTATAATTTTCTTGTTGAAAAAAACCATTTAGATCATTAGACTTCAATGCTGCTAATTCATCAAGGAAAAAAGATTTCCCTCCTCCTGGTGCAGACTGGAGAGCACATAAAGGATTATATCGCTTATCATTAGAATTTGCCTTAAAACGTTCAAAAAATATCTTATATGTGGTATGTAAAGAAATGTCCCTTTCTTTTCACTCAAACTCTACTGCTCATTTACATAATTGATGAGGCCTTCTAAAATCTTCCTTAAGTCCTTTCTGAGATACAATAAGCTTAACTATTCTTTCAGGTGATTCTTCTGTATGAAATTGAAATTAAAAGTCAAAGATTGCGGTAGTTTGGAAAAACAATATAATATTGTAATAGATATATTACCATCAAGTTTGACCTTTTTGTACCCTGCTAAAAACAATAATAAGAGCAGATATATGAATATAGTTTAAAATGATATATAATATCCATTTTTATAAACTCTTACTTTCTGTTTCATCATCATGTCCTCTTTTTCCTTGTGAAACAATATGGTAGAAAAAAGGCAATTATTGAAGAAAAAAAAAAATACCAATTGATAGTGGAAAGAAAAAGTCAAAATGAATAAAATAAATAAATAACGAAATGGAATGAACGAAAAATAATTTTTTTTTTTTTTTTTTACGCAATTTGTTCATTACCTTCTTTATCAAATCCCACTAACGCCTTCTGCAACTCCTCTACCTGCTTCAACCTATCATCTAAATTCTTCTTCAACCTCTTCTCTTCTTCGATTAAGTATTTCCTCTCCTCCTTTTCCCCTTCACTAAGCTCTCCACTTATCGCCTTTATCCTCAACCTTTTCAGCAACTCTCCATCGTTCTCCCCTTTCTCCCACTCCTCTAACTTCTTTTCCGCCTTTCTATACTCTCCTACTGCCATTTGTTCTCTCTCTTTAATTTCTTCGTATGTTGTCATTTTTTTAAAATTTAAAGAAAAGATTGTAAAATTAATTTTTTAAAAAAAGAAATTTTTTTTTTTATTGATTTAGATCGTAATTGTTATAATTTATGCATAATTTCGACCAATGATAAATTAGTGGGCACATGACTTGGAAATTAAAAAAATTTTTTTTTACGAACAATGAATTAAATAAAATGACAAATTTTATTTTAATTCAACTAATACTGTAATAATTCAATAATATTATTATTAATATTTATATCTTCATTGTTTTTATTATCTTCTTTGTAATCTTCACTCTCCACCTCTTTCTTCTTTTCCTTCTTGGCCCACTCCTGAATTGCTTCTATTGTTTACTTTTAGGATTTGTTTTTCGTTGATAGAAGTTTTTATTGTGGAAGCAGCAACTCCTTTTTCTTCTCCAAGTAATTCACGAATTTCAACGTTTTTTTTTATTTATAAGCAATGCACAATGATGATCATTAATTACGTTTGCATAAAGGAAAATTTTCTTTGTAGTAATAACCAATAAAAAAAATAAATCAATATTATAATAAGATTATTTTCCTTCTAAGGATTTTTGCTTTTTATTAGGTGATAATGCATCATCATGATGCTTTCTTTTTCTTTTTGGTAAATTTCATAGGTAATACTTTCTTTTTTTAGATAAGCTTCCAGTGTCTTGGTATCATTTATTTTGAAAATTTAAGGAGCAATTTTTTCACCTTGTTCTTTCTTCAAAATACTTCTGATAGCACTATAATTCTTGGGTTCCATTGTAGATCTGATGTAAATTAATTTCATATTAACTATTTTTGTCTAGACAAATATCATTATTGTAATACAATTGTGATGTTAAACAAACACTATTGATCACTGAAATCATTGGTAATACCAATGTTCACTTTGTCTGGTTTTGTTGCAGCATGCCCCAAATAATAATTAGGAAACAGGAAAAGAAATCCGATTTCAAAGGTAAGAAATATAATAAGAAAAATAGATAGGTATAAAAAATCACCACAATTAGGTTATTTAATTAGATTATTTAATCATAACGATAATTAGATTATTAACTTTAGATTATTTAGTTATATTTAAATTATTTAGTTATATTTAAATTATTTAGTTATATTTAGATTATTTAGTTATACTTAAATTATTTAGTTATATTTAGATTATTTAGATTATTTAGTCATATTTAGATCATTTAGTCATATCTAGATTATTTTATTACTAAATAACCTAATCTAAGCCGTTTATAACTAAATAATATAATTATATTATTTAGTTATAAACGGCTCAGGTTTTATTAATAAATAATTTTATAATATCATTATAAGTTATTTTTATAAAATTATATAATGATTTGAAATATAAAAGTTTAAGAACTTCTATAAAAATCTTTACTTAATTCTTTCTTTATATAAACTTATATATACTTTAAAAGTATTTTATTAGAATTTACATAATCTTTGAATATTTTTTATTTTATAAATGCATTTTTATCTAAAATATTATTTCTTATCTGAAGTTATTGAATTCTCAAGTATAAAAATATATTTATATATAAACCTTTGTGATAATTACGTGTCATAGATGATTGACTCATTTTTTACAAGTTTCTTCCTTTATATTGCAAGGATACAAGTTCGAAATCAGGTGATAAGTTTCTTAACGATCGACGGGATAATTTAACCGATAAAAAAACATTCATTATGATCTTTGAAATTAAAAAAATACACCTGATGGAAATTATTTTACATATATACCCTGCATAATATGCACATATTGTATTATAATAATTATCAAATTTTGTATACAAGAGGGATTCCTTGAATTTCTTAAGACTTGCAATTATAATTATTGATTTTTTAAAGAATAAAAAATAGCAGACCTCAAAAATAAAAAAGCTAGAATTGTTACAAAAGACATTATTATTATTACACGTTTTATTTTAATACAAAATTAATGTCTAATCATTATTACATAAATAGCAAAATAATATCAAACAAATACAATAATTAAAGTAAAATTGACAATACATTATTACATCTAGAAAAAAAAATTACAAGGTTTTAATATTACAATTTTAACGTAAAATACTTATTGATCATTTTTTACCAATTCTTTGAATATCTTTTAAAATGTTGTCCATCAAGCGAACACCTGAAGGGTAATTTGGTTTCAATTCAAGGAATTTATTAATATCATTCAAGGCTAAATCTAATTGATCCAATTTCCAATATGTATATGAACGTTTCTTTAGAGTATAAAAGTGCTCATTTTGAAGTACTAGAGCTTTATTAAAGTCCATTAAAGCTTCTTCATATTTATGAAGTTTCAAATAAACGTCTCCTCTTTTACTGAAAATTTTGGCAAAATTTCTTTCACCTTGCATCTGTTGCGTCACGCTTAAACCTTTATCATACCCACTATGATTTCTTTCAACGTCGGGGTCATGATCATCTGAATCAATATAAGTGTAGTCTAGTGGTTCTATTTCTAATGATTTATCAAAATCAGATAAAGCTTCTTCATAACTTCCGAGCTTTCTAAAAACATTTCCTCTGATCTCAAGTACATATACATTCGTAGCTTTAATTTTTAACGCATGATTAAGGTCTATCAAAGCATCATCTATAAGTTTAAGAAAAAATGTTCAACCATCTAGTCAAATTTTTTTTTGTTCTTTCATAAAGAAATAAGTAATTTTCTTACCGTATCGATGGAGTTTACAATATAGTTCCCCTCTAGAACAATAAGCATATGAATTTTTTGGAGCAATCCTAGTAGCTTTATCCAAGTCCGATAATGCATCCTGCGGTCGTTTCATTAAATAATGGATATCAGCTCGAAGTAGCAAAGTATTGACATTCAAAGGTTCTATCATTAATGCTTTATCAGCAAGACTTAATGCTTCCGTATATTTTCTCAACCGTCGATAAATGTCAGACATTTGTTGTAAAGCAATTACATTATTTGGTTCAAGTTCCAACGCAAAATTAACATCGTGCAATGCTTCATCTTTGCATTAAAAAAAGGTGAGAAATTACACATACAAAATGTACACGTTAATAAGAATCAATAGCACATATTAATGAACTAAAAGGTAAAAAAAAAATATGTACCATATCTCCGTAATTTAACATAGAGTTCAGCGCGATTCCCGAACGGGCTAACTTTAGTAGGATGAAATTCTAAAGCATTATTAAACGACTTCATGGCATCACTCCAACGTCTCATGTCAAGATAAATTGCACCGCGAAGTCCATGTTGATAATCACTTTTTGGTTCGAGGAGGCAAGCCTTTTCCAAATCCTCTAAAGCCTTATCAGGAAACATCAACATCCGGTATGCTCCGCTACGATTTCTCAACGCAATTGCATTATTTGGTTGGAGTTCCAAGGTCTAGAATTTAGTTGATTTGAAGAAGTTAATACAAAGCACGATAAAAGTATGGAGTTGTATTGTACGTGACACGGTAAACAACGCAGTCACGAAACGGAAACGGAAATGCATTACCTTTGTGAGATCAGAGACTGCTTCTTGATATTGACCGTTATCAAGATGAATCACTCCGCGAGTTCCGTAAGCCAACGCTTTGTCGGTCTTGAATTTAAATGCCATTTTAATATCCTTTTTCGCATTTTCGTACCTTTTTAATTCTCGATTAACGTCTGCACGATTGATGTAGGTAAACGCGTCGATTTGACCTACTTTAATGACCATATTCAAATCCAATAAAGCTTCTTCAAAAGATCTCATCATGTAGTAACAGAAAGCGCGCCATTTATAAGCGAGACTGTTTTTAGGTTCGATTTCAATGGCCTTATTAAGATCAGATACAGCGTCAACATAAGATTTTTGCAAACTTTTAATCATTCCTCTAAGACACCAAGCTCTCGTCTTATTAGGTTTAAGAGTGATGGCATGATCCAAGTCATTTAGTGCGTCCTCATAACTTTTAAGTTCACGAAATGATTCAGCCCGGTCACATATTGTATTATAACTATCCGGGTAGTCTTCGAGTAATTTTGTACACCATATGATTACTTTTTCATCGCCTTCAAATAATTGAGCCTTAAAAATTTTAAATTTTGCCGGATGAAAGAATTTGGGTCTTTTGAAATTTTGTTTTAATTTGGAAAAAAAATTGAAAGACTTGTTCTTATTTTCTTTTGGAATGGCTTGATTTGAATTAAGAGTAGCTAATAAGACACAAATCCAAAAGGCCGAACCAGCGGATGCGTTGGATACGTTTTCATTGTCGGCCTAATATCGTATTATCGCAAAGGTAAGTAAAGAATTTCTGTAACAAAAAAGTAATTATAAAGCATGATATGCGTACCTTTTTTAATTTATTTTTCAAGAAACCTTTCATTTTTGAATAATAAATAAATATATATCGAAAAAAAAAAAAAATAACTAATGAAGAATTTTTCCTTAAAAGAAAAAGAAAAAGAAATCCTCCTGATGGAAAAGGAATGAAAGGAATGGAATGGAATGGAAAGGAGAATTATATATATAATGTTTTGGTATTAAAAAGTTACATAATCAAATTGCAAAAAGTATTTTTTTTTTTTTTTTAAAAAAAAATCTCCTAATATTTCAAAAAAAAAAAAAAAAAACCAGTTTGCTTGTTTACTATGGAGGTAAAATTTCTTCGTTTAAAAGCATTATTTATTATTGTGAAATTTAAACTCACTATTTTGTTCTATATTTAGAAAACCCTTTAATGCTTTGTTTCCTGAACCGTTCCTAAACAAGATGACTAGATAAATCTAAACCTGTTGTTATCAAAAGCCATGAACCCTGAAATTTTATACCAAATTCAGATTTGTTAAACCTGTTATTAATGTAGATGAATGCAATTCTTGAATCCTATTAAGGTGAAATAGATTCTTGGAATAAAGGTATTAGTAAAATAAATCAAGTAAACTTAATGCATGTAGAATTATCATTAATAATTTGTTCCATTTATGGACGATATTTTTTTTTTTTACACGAGGTATCTTTGATTGTAATATGGTATTAGAGAAATTATGATTATGTTGTGCAATCCTTTTCTTTATCACTATATCAAAAACTGCTTGCTCATTGGTCAACAAAAAAAAAATGATGGGGATAATGTTTCTTTTCATGGGGAAGAAGATACTATTATTGAATGCATGGGGCTTAGACTTGGGATGGTATTTTTTTTTTTTGTTGGGATAAAGTTAAGCGGCGCAATAGGCGAATCAAAAAGTTAAATGAATTGGCAATAGGGTAACCTTTAAAGTCTCAACCCGTAATTTTATGCAAGGAAATTTTATGATTCGACAAAAAGAAAATTATTGAAGTACATAGATGTACATGTGCATTTTTGTTTGTTATATTATTAGTACATCAGGACGATGGCCTCCCATAATATATTGGCAATTATCTCATTTATTATTATGACCAGCATACGAATATGTAATGAAAAAAAAAAAATGAAAGATGAAAATGGAAAAATGAAAAATGAAAAAAAAAAAAAGAATGTCTACTTTGCTTCATCTCTATTATCTATTTCATGTTTATAATACAATGAATATAAGAAAAAAAAAGTTTTAATTATATAATAATGTTCTTAAACCCTTTTCCCACAAAGTTTCAAATTGATCAAGATTTCGCGGATTCTACTATGCTGTCACGAATTCGAATTCCGGAAGTGCTATCTGATTTACGGAATCCAGTTATATTGTATTTTTTCCTCAGCTCCAAAAATCTATTAATATCGTCTAACGCTAAATCTAATTTACCCATCTTTTGATAAACGCATGCTCGCTTCTTTAATGCAAGTAAATGCTCAGATTGTAACGCTAATGCTTGGTTCAGATCCGATAATGCCTCTTCATAACGATCCAACGCTAATAATGTTGCTCCACGCCTTGCATAAATACTTGCAAAATTTCGTTCTCCTTGCATTTTAAAGATTAAAGTGAACCCTTCATCGTATCCTGAATGATTTCGTTTGGCCCTGATGTTATGATCATCTGAATTAAGATAAGTGGCATTTAATGGTAACAACTCTAAAGATTTATTAAAATCATTTAAAGCTTCGCAATGCTTTCCAAGTTTACGATAGGTATTGCCACGTATCTCATAAGCAAAAGGATTTGATGCTCGAATTGTCAACGCCTGATTGATGTCGGCTAAAGCCAAATCATAATTTTTCAGTTTAGAATGTACTTCGGACCGGCAGCAAAGTGGTGAGCATGCTTTTGGAGAAAGTTTGATAGCGTCATCTAAATCCTTGACAGCTTGTTTAAAGGAATTCTGATGATAATAGATTTCAGAACGAAGTATCAAGGTATTTTTATTTTTGGGATGTAAAATCAAGGCTTTGTTTGCCGTCGATAAAGCTCTTGGATAATCGCCCATCCTTCGACAAGTATCTATCATTTGCTGAAGAGAAACCACGTGTTGAGGATCAATTTCTAAGGCCTTTTTAATGTCGAGATAAGCTTCATTGTACCTTCTTAGCTTAAACAATATTTCGCCACGATTAGAATAAGGGGTGACACTCTTTGGATGATATCGTACGGCCAAATCGAAATTTGTTATTGCATCGCTCCACCTTCTTAATTCCATATATAAAGCTCCACGTATTCCATATTGATAAAGATTGCCCGGATCAATGAGACATGCACGTTCCAAATCCTCTACAGCATTATCCATTTTCTTTAACATGCGATAAGCGCTACTTCGATTTCGAAGAACAGTTGCATTATCGGGTTGTAATTTCAGTGCCTAATCGAAAATAAATAAATAAATTATAATTAAAAAATTAAATTTATAGAGATTGTAATATTATACGTTTTCGTATTTTATTGTTTACCTTTGTAAAATCCTCGACAGCCTCTTCATAACGCCTAGCATTCATAAATATGACTCCACGATTACCGATTACGTTAGCTTTTTCGGCTTTGGTTAACTCGAATTTCAGGGCCTTTTTTATGTCGGCCATCCCTCTGTTAAATTTTTTAAGTTCACGATAAATATCAGCTCGATTGATGTAAACCAAAGCATCATTTACACCATAACTAATAGCTTTATTAGTGTCATCCAGAGCTTGATTGTAATGTTGCAATCTATAATGACAATAACCTCTCCATTTGTAAGCATAGCCATCGGTCTCATCCATTAAAATGGCTTTATTTAGGTCATCTAATGCTTCATCGAAATTTCGAAGAAAACATTGCATGACACCTCTAAAACAGATTGCCTCTTGTTTTTTTGGTTTTAGGGAAATTACATGATCGAGATCTAGTTTTGCTTTTTTATATTCCAACAGAACGCGATAAGCATCAGCGCGAATATACCTAATTGCATAACTATTTGGATGGATTGCTAGCATATCGGTTGAAATTTCGGCGATTTTCTTATAATCATTGAACAATTGAGCTTTGATTAATTTAAATTTTAATAGATGAAAAGATTTGTTAGGTGAAGCGGAATTATCAAGAGATTTATCGGGTATTTTGTTAGGTGTCGCAACTCGATCCAAGAGACCGCAAGACCAAGGGTGAGATTTTGGGATTTCTGATGTTAAAGAAGGTGAATTCTCCTATATTCAACAAAGCAAAAAAAAAATTATTAACGAATTCTAGGATTTCAGTCAACAATAAAATCATAAAAAAAAAAAAATACCCTTTCTAATTGTGCCTTGGCTAAACTCTTCATGTTTAATATAATAATAATAATATTAAAAAAATAAAATAAAATAAAAAAAAAAAAAAAAAAAAAAAAAAAAAAAAAGGAATATTCCAATTTTTATACAAGAATTCTCAGGTCATTAGACCAAATTACAAAAATTCACATTTTAGAATGTTTTTTATGTTAATTTAAATTACACAAATAAAACAAAGTTCATTACTATGAACCAATTAATATAGGAAATAATGAATGTTTAATTGCTTTTTTAATAATTCATTTTTTACAACTATCTGCTATGTTTACTATTAAATACATTATCTTTTACTATCCTTTACTATATATAATGCAAAGCAAATGTATTAATGATGGTATCGTAAATTTGATTGGTTAGGTGAAAGGAATGAGCCGCCAAAAAGAAATCAAGTTTCATTACCTGTTAAATTTCGATGTAAAAAATCTCGGAACATTTTCAAAAAGGCCAAGGTATTGCGTCATAATTCGTTCGATCAATGCTGTGCGCACTGTAATGCAACGTTGTGATATTTTCCAAATCCTCTTGGAAATTCTTTGGTAAGAAATTATCAAATGGCATTGGTTCATTTTATGAACAAACATTGGCCGCTACGAATTCATTGATGATTTCCATGTAAGATTTCTCTCGCACAAAACCATCTTCGGAGATCATGATATAATCTTTTCCATTTATAGTCGATAATTTGCACAATAAGTAGTGTCTTTAACTAGGCACCAGTCTTAATTGCAGTGTTGGTTTTAGGTTTTTGAAAAATTGATCTGATTAATGATTGCCTTCATCATCAACAAATCCCTATATTGATAATCGAATTCCTGGAATTCCTGTTTTCTCTACGGTCATTAACCACGTGATTAACTATATTATGTGATAAGATAAATTTCTCCACACAAAACAAGAGTCGAGTCGATTCCTGTGATTTAATTCGATGTATATTATACTCATCAATGTTCGGGTGAAATCGAACATTAAAATTATTATCCTTATGTCCTTCATAAATATAAACTACATAAAATAATTTGCTTGAATATAATGAATAATGAAGTTACCGTGCAAAAATAATTTACATAATTCTCAACAGTCGAAAATCTTTTCACCATCGACATCTCTTACAAAAATCTTATGAATATTTGGATAAACCAAATTATTGAAACTGAAACACATAGTGTTCATTAACCTATCTCACCCAATACTATTCAAATCTTTTCATTCTGTTCTATTCCTTCATTCTCCTTTAATAATATTAATGATACGCATCAAATTGCAATCATACTTGAATGCGCGCTATGGATTTGATCGTTTAACTTGTAACATGATTCACAAGAATATGCTTACGATACTATCGGTAAAAATGACGCATGGCTTTCTGGTGAAGTATTAATAAAATAATTTCATCATTCCCCAATTCGGTAGGATAAATTTTTGATTTGTGATGTAGATCATTCCAAAATATTCTCTCGGATGCATGGCAAATGAATGTATGATTTCTTTTGATGCACGTTTAAGACGTATGCAGTGACAGAATCGGCAGGAGTCGGGCTACAACCATTAAGATTCAACTTTAAATCGTTAAATGATCTACACTTACGTGAATTATAAATGCAATTTTAATCGTTTTTTAATCTATTTTCATTTTTTTTTTCTTTCCGTGAAATTAAATAACTTTCGTAAATTTTGTAAATATAATATACTAGTAAAAAACAAATGGTTCGCCTTCCGCGTCTAAAATACAAAAACAACGACTCTACTCAAGGTAGCAGTGGAATTTTGACTTATGTGTATAGGTGGAAAATAACAAACTGGAGTGAGATACGACCTTTTATGGAAAATACTAGTCCGCCTTTTAGTGCTGACGGGTTACAATGGTTTGTATTTATTCTTTTCATATCCTAAAATTTAACTTTGATAATCTTGATTAATTGATAAAAATGAACACGTTGAACTATCAAGGGTCTTTAAGGTATTCATTAATATAAATTTAAGAATTTATATAAATTTATATTCGACGTAATTAATTAAATTATAATTATTATTTCAAAATATGAATAGTTCTATAAGGGACGACAGAAGAACCCGCAGGTATATTGAAGTATTAACCTTCTTTTCCTCTAATTTGAATTTATACAAATAATTGATTTGTATTAAATTTATGTGAAAGGCTCTGTCATTATATTTAGGGATTTTAGAGACAACTCCAGGATGTCTTCTTGGAATTAGAAAAAAAGTCAGTATAATCTTTGTCCTGGAAAACTTGAGAACGAGAGGAATGGATTTTGGCAAAAGTATATTTGGAATTAAATTGAATTACATTTATTTGCATTGATTCGAATCCATTTTAACCTTCTGTTTTCTTTTTGCTCGAAAAGTGGAGTTGCCTGTTTGGTTTTGTAATAGTAAGTACATATTTCAAACGTTGATTTATAATTTGAAAATTTCACACATTGATTATTAAAGACCCTTTGTTTATCTTACATTATGGGATGATCAGAACATTCCACATGGGGTGAAGAAAATCTCATGACATTAGATGAAATGGACAGGTCATTATAATCATGTCCTTAGTTTTGTTTGAAAAGGAATTTAAAAATTTAATTTTATTATTTTACTTTATTAAATAGGTTCATTAATAATGATACAATATCCTTGTGTGTAAAATTTGAGATTCAAGAATCTATTTTAGATTCACCACCAAAAATTAGTAATCCATTTGATAAACTAGTAAATTCGCCACGTTTTTCAGATGTCACGTTTTGTGTACTTGATGATAATTCACGTGAAAAATTATTCTATGCGCATAAAGGAATCTTAGCAAGTTCCTCTCCTGTATTTGAATCAATGTTAACGAACGGGAAAGAGAAGGATACAATTAAATTATGTCAAACAAATCATTCCGCGTTCCTTGCTTTGTTAACATTCATATATACTTTTAATGTAAATATTACATCTTTATGTGACGCGGAAGATTTATTGGCATTAGCTGATAAGTTTGAAATTTTCCCTGTACGAGAGGAGTGTTTACGTTATTTCCGTTTAGAATTGAACGTTGATAATGTATGGGGAATTTGGGCGATTGCCGGTAAATTATATTATATTACGATTATTCTTATTATTATTTTTGGTAATTTTCACGATTCTAATATTTTTTTTTTTATAAAATCCTCAACTTACTGATATAAAGAAAAATATCCTTGTGCTAAAACATCAACAACTTGTCGTGATTTTGTTGCATCAAATTTTGAAGATCTTTTGGAGGATCCATCCACGTTACACGCAGATCCAAATATTTTGCGGCTAGCACTCGACAATGATGAAGCAAATGTGAATTCCGAAGAGAAAATTTATGAATTGGTTGTTCGTTGGGCAAATTATTCGTACTCTTCAGATTCAGATACATCATCGGCACGGAATTCTACAAATACTCGGGTCAATGATGAAGATTCACCACCATCTTCTTCAACATCTGCATCAATGCCATCAGAACTTCCAGAAAATTTTGAAGATGCTGTAGATGATATTCAATTCATTGAGAATGGAATTGTAAATATTAAAAATCTTTATGAATTAAATAATGAACAATCGGATATACAAAACGATGGCTCAAATAAATTTCCCAAGCCTTGGTGTGGTGATAGGTTTGCGGCACTTCCTTCCTTATTAAAATGTGTTCGATTTCCTGTAATGAAAAAACAATATATTTTCGAAAAAGTTGAAGGAAATCCTTTCATAATGGCAGCAGATGGAATGAAAGATCTGGTGAGAAATATTTAAATATTTATGACTTGTCAATTTTATTGGAATTAAAGTTCGAATTTTATTTATCGTGATTCCCCCCTCCCTCCCTCCTCTTATTTCTTTTTAGGTAATAGAAGCATATCGGCATCTCTTGATGCTTGAAGTTCCTAATTCGGGTTCGAGTAGCAGAGTTAAACATCGAAAACGTAAGAAAACCATCGATTAGTTCAGATTATTTCAAGACGTGAATTTTGTTAGGGCTTATGAAGCTTGTAGGATCAAGTATTTTTTATTTTCGAATTTGTAAAGTTCTTGAAATAAATTATTTATATTACGTGAAGTACCTTAATTCGGCCATTGTTAAAAAGTTTTGACTTAATGAAATGAATTAATCATAAGAATGCTCTGTTCTTAGGGGATGCTTATATTCTTAAGATTAGGATAATTAGAATTCAATGAAACAAAATTAATTATTCATATTATTAACCTACTTGATGATTAATACTTTTTTGTGTGAATCTTCACATTTTTACAATCACAGTACTGTAAATAGCTCGCATTCCTAAACAATACAAACCCTTACGTTTTTTACCTACCAAAGTGTAAGCAAAAATTCAAGAGATATATAATTGTCTCAGTTGAAATTGTATAATAGGTTCTCATTGAAAAGAGTTGCTATCATTAAAGTAAATCTCAAAAGAAGATGCATCTTCTGTAAATTAAAAACAATTGAATTTTATTAATTATTTAATTAATAAAGCTTTATTATATATAATTATTCTATAAAAAAATTTAATCTCTTAAATAGTAAATATAAAATTATTTATAAAATATTATAAAAATTATAAAAAAAAAACTCTTTTTGTTGATCATTTTAAACCAAAAAAATAATTAAGCAGCTAAAAAACAGTTTATTAAAATACTTCAATAATTAGAAACTTTAACATTAAGGAATTATTTTTTGAAAAAGTACTGGTTTCTAAATGGTACTTCACTTATTATGTTACAGTTACTTTATCTCAAAATCAAATAAAAAAAAAAAACAAAATGAAATATATAATATCTTTCATCTCATTATATATCTTTTATTAATACACCTATATGCAATCACTTTAATAACATCATAAAATAATTATTCAAATTAAATTCACATCTTATATAGATGCAAATAACACAATTATCTTATAATTATTTTTTTTTGATAATTCTATATTTTTGCCTCTTATAATAAACTCCCTATTAAATATATTAATAAATTGAATAATGTTACTTTATTTTCAAAAATCTATATGTATCTATTTCTTTTATATTTGATAACTAAAATTCATTTAAATTAAACTAATTAAAGTATTTACAAAAATTAGTATAAAATTAATAATTGCCAATTTAACTTAAACTAATTTTAGTTTATTAAAAATTATTATATAGAAAATAATCAGAATTTAATATTAATCTTATTATTGATAATGATAATTAAAGTAATAAAAATTTTATTAAATAAGAAAATTTAATATAAATAGTAATTTTTATAAAATTAATAAATATAAAATTTTTATAAATTATCTTTTATGATATAAAAATTAGGTAATTTTTATTTGTATATAAGTATATTATATACAGATCACGTAAAATAGTCAGTATTAACATTACTTTTATTAATATAAAAAAATTAAAAAAAATTATTTATATGATGATCATATAATAAATAATTAATGACAAATAAAAATTTTAAGTTTCTAAAATAAATAATAAAAAAATTAAAGATGAAGGGTATGATATCAATAATAAATAAATATGTTATATGATCCATTCTATGTAAACTTAAAAATTTTCTAAGAATTAAAATAAATATAATATTATATTTTTAATTTTTTAATTAATTAATTATAAATTTATAAAATTAAAAATTATATGATATATTACTTTTAAAAACTATTATATATATTATATATATTTTTATTAATCTATTTAATTTAATATATAAATTTAACTATATATAAATTGTTAAACAAAATCTAAAAGTTAGTTATTTAAATAAAAAAAAGTAATATTTAATAAAATTATATTAAAATCTTATTAAAAAATTCATAGAATTTAAAAAATGTAAACTTATATTAAATCTTATAAATAGTACTATTAGATAGCACTGATATTAGTATCTTATTTTATAAATATTCCTTTTAAATAGTAACAGATACTATTCAATCATAAATATAAAATTTTGATTAATATTGAGATACTAATAAATTAACTAATTAAATAATCAACATATTAATCAAATTTACCATAATAATATCGATTAATTTGACCTATTATAATATATTAAATGTAAAAACAAAATTTATTATTATAATTTATACTTTATTAATATTAAATACTATTATATTAGGATCCTAAATAATACTAATATAACTTACAAAAGGATTTACATAAAATTTATATGTAAATATTTTTAAACAAATGAAAAGAATTTATATAGATTAGTCTAATTTTAAATTACTTATAAATTGTATTACATAAAATTAATTAAAATAGAAACCAAGAACTAAAGATATATAGAGTTGATTATTTTTTTTATTAATAAAATAATTAAACATTAAATCAGAATAGAAGTTGAAAAAATAAAAAAATAAAAAATAGAGCAAAAGTTTAAAAATTAGAATAAAGATTAAAAAAATAAAAAATAAAAATGTGAAATTCAAAAATTAGAATAGAGATTGAAAATAAAAATAAATAGAACAGAATTCAAAAAGTTAAAATAGTGGTTGAAAGATTAAAATAAAAATCCACTTCATTTATTTTTTTGTTTTTTTAATCTTTGTTCTAATTTTTTAAATTTGATTCATTTTTTTATTTTTTTTAACTTCTATTCTAATTTTTTAAATTTTACACTTTAATACTTTTATTTTTTTATTTTTTTCAACTTCTATTCTAATTTTTTAAATTCTACTTTATTTTTTTTATTTTCAACATTTTAAATTTTATTTCATTTTTTTTTATTATCAATTATAAAATAAATTTTAAAATGTTTTAAAAATTTAATATTAGTTAATTTTAATTATTTAAATTTAATTTTATATAATTAAAATTTTAAGTTTATGTATATAAAATTATTTGAAGGCTAAGCTATTAACCAAAATTAAGATTTTTGATTCATATTATTATATAATATATACAATCAACTTTTGTTATAATAAACTCTATGTCCTAGACCTCAAGAGATTTGATTAGTCAATTTGCTATAATAAGGGTATTTTTATTATATTTATTAATGATGAGGGACGAAACCCCTTAATAACAGTCGAAACTTAGACGAAACTATATTAAAATCATAATAAGGGATACGACGAAACCCTTTCGATACGACGAAAGCTAAAACTGTCGAAACTATATTAAAAACATAGAAAAGGATATGACGAAATTATTTTAAGGAGGTTTCGGTAGGCATCTATAATATTTATTCAAAAAATTCATTATATCAAAAGTTCGCTATATCAAGAATTGACTGTAAACTTTATTTAGTTAAATTTTTATGGTTGATTATCTTATTAATAAAGTAAGTAATTAGCTATTAAAATTTTTCATTTTTTTTGTAATATAGTCAAAAAATCTAAAATTAAAGTTTACTATTATTAATAATTTGAATGTATAATTAAATAAAAAGACCTAATTAAGAAAGAAATCTAATAAGTATTTTATAACAAATCAATAACTTTTTAACTGACATAAAAATGGATACCTTAACGAGTTATACAACCTGATTAAACAGAATTAATTTCATAAAGATTTAATAGAAGTATACTTAGAGATAGAAATGATCTATAAAAAGCTTAAGGAATGATACTATTGGTTTCAGATATATGAAAGTGTGATGTATATTAGAAAAGAAGAAGATCTAGTAGAAAGGAAAAATCTTATCCTATAATAGTAAAAGAACTTTTCTATTAAATTGAAGTAGATATTAAAAGATCATTATCAGTAACAATATAAAAAAAATAGATATCTTATTGTAGCAATGGATTATTTAACAAAATGGTTAGAAATTAAGCTATTGAAATAAACAAAAGTAATAGATATAACAGAATGCATTTTTAAAGAAATAGTAAGTATATATGGTATATCTAAAATAATTTTAATAGATAGAAAAATTGAATTCAATAATCAATAGATAAATAAGTTATGTAAAACTTGGCAAATTAAATATTGATTAACTTCACTATATAGATCTCAAATTAATAAAATGCTGAAAAGATTCAATTAAACTATAGGAGAATGTTTAATTAAACTTTAAAAAAAAAATGGGATGAAAGTATTAAAGTAGTCCTATTAGTATACAGGATTGAGAAATATGAGTTAATAGGATTTATTCTATTTTAATTAATCCATGAAAAATAAGCACTATCTATAGAATTAAAAGTATTAATATATAAAGAAGGAGTAGATGTATTACTTAAATGAACTAAAAAAATTATAAAAATAATAACTTGTTAAAAGCTTAACAAAGGATCAAATTACTTCAAGAAAAGCAAAAATAAATCTACAATTCTAATAAATTCAAGATTTGAGATAAGATTCTATTATATTAGACATATCTTAAAAATAACTTTTTTATCAAATTAGAAGCTAAATGAATAGGAACTTACTTTATCTATGAAATATATGAAAAAAGTAATTACAAATTAAAAATATTTAATGAAAAGTTCTTGAAAATCAATTCATAAAAATAGGTTTAAAAAATATTTTGAAAAAACTTTTGAACTATAGGTAATAATCAAAGATTTTCTTATTGAGAAAGGAAATTAAGGTGAAGATAAGTAATTTGCAAAAATGAAGATTATGTAATTAAAAATGATCTGCAAGAAGTTCATATAATAAAAAGATCATTGAAATTGGTTGAAAAATAATAAATTTGAATATCACACAAATATTAAATAAAATAATTAATAAAAGAATAACTTTTTAATATTGAAGTTTTAAAAATATAAACTTGTAATTCTTAAAGAGTTACATTTTATTTGTTATCAATAAAAGTAATTTATAAAACAAATAAATCCTTAAATTTAATAGTTTTTGTTGTTAAAATAAATCTTTGAATATTATTTCAAATTATTGTCTTGTTAAAATATCTAGGACTTTTTAAAAAGCTGATATGTTTAATCAAAGAAATTATTTGTTAGTATTTTATAATATAATTTCCTATTCATATTATCAGTAAATATGTGAAAT